CATAGTCTCTGATTTGATATCAAGGTCCTTGTGGATCATTTAATTTAAAAATTAGTATGATCCTACTAGGCACCACGGTACATGCCTATCATCCCAGCTACTCAAAAGTAGGATCACAAATTCTAGGCCTGCCTGTCTCAAAACTAAAAAATGAAAAGGTCTGGGAATGTAGTTAAGTGGTAGAGTACTCCTGGGTTCAACCCCTACTGCCACACAAACAGAGAAAACATTTTGTCAATAGAATAGGTTAAATAATGTATTTTTTCAAATAATGGTCACTCTCCTTTGCTAACACAAAGATAAGCACAATTGCCAAAAGAGTCGTTCTTAAAAATATTCAATTACATTTTAGAATCAGAATTTTCTGACAGTGAATTTTATTTATTTTTTATTTTACTTTTTCCATATTTTTAACTGGTACATTATAATTATACATAATGATGGGATTCATTGTAACATATCTATACATGCACACAAAATGTAATATAATTTAGCCAATATCAATCCCCAGTATTTCCCCTTACCCTCCCTTCCTCTTTCCCCCTGGTCCTTTTCCTCTTCTCTACTGATCTCTCTTCAATTTTCATGAGATTCACCCCACATCTTTCTCTTCCTTTTTCATCTCCTTCTCTATAGTTTCTACATGTAAGAGAAAATATACCACCCTTGATATTGACTTATAAGACTTAACATAATGTTCTCAAGTTCCATCTATTTTCCTGCAAATGACATAATTTCATGCTTCTTTATGGCTGAATCAATTGAAATAGTGAATTTTAGAAATCAGCATAGTACTTTCTCTGATGAAACAGCTCCTTTGCTATGTGTAGCCAATTATATAGAAATAAAGAGGTGGCAATAAGTGTATCTTTGAAAAGAATCAAGTTTTAAAAGTTCCTTCTATCACCAACATACATGAAAAGGTTATTTTCAGACAGATGTAATAAGAGTCATTAAAAAATACAAATGAAGCTGGGCCCAGTGACACATGTCTATAATCCCAGTGGGTCAAAAGGCTGACATAAGAGGATCCCGAGCTTAAAGCCAGCCTCAGCAAAAGTGAGGTGCTAAGCAACTCACTGAGACCCTGTCTCTAAATAAAATACAAAACAGGGCTGGGGATGTGGCTCAGCAGCAGACTATCCCTGAGTTCAATCCCTAGTACCCAGAAAAAAAAAAAAAAAAAAATACAAATGAACTTCTATTTAAATTCTAAAAACAGATTAATTTTTTTTTTTTGCTGTGAAAGACTGTAAGATCCTTTTATTATTACTAGATCACTACAGATTTTTTTAAATGTGATATATTTATTTTAAATGGAAACTCATTTGGGGAAAAATAGTGATAGTGTTTATATGCAGTTTATACTTTGAAAAACTCCTTGAAAAGATTTAAAACTATTTTTTCAAGGGAAAAAAATAAGAATGTTATCATTTGTTAGCTAAATTACTAGTTGCTAGTTGTTCAAGATTTTATACATTTATCTTCTTATATAAAGGCGAACGATGGCAAGTCACCAAAACACAAATGTTTTTGTTTTGCTTCTTCTGTTTTAGGCAAATGAGCTGCAGGTGCAATTATTAACAAAATTCACAATGCTTATAAAAGTAACTTTGTGAATTTGTTATTTAACCAAATGTACTGATTATGTGGAACCTTTATATAAAAGGCAGCAGGTTCATCTAACAAGGGTAATTCATTACAGATGAATTTGAACACTGAAAACATATAATGCAAACTTAAAATATATGCCATACCTACTATACAAATATAATTTCTGAAGTTGGGGATGTAGCCAGTGGCAGAGAGCTTGCCTAGCCAACACAAAACCCTGGATTCAATTCCCAGTACCACAGGGGGAAAAAATATACGTGTGTGTGTGTCCCTGAGTTCAATCCCCAATACCCACAGAGTAAAAAAAATATAAAAAACATATGTGTTGTGTATATACACACACACACACACACACACACACACGTGTGTGTGTGTAATTTCTGACTATTTTACATTATTAAAAATAACTCACCTGCAGAGACGGAAATGGTTCACTTGGTTCAACTTCATCTTCTTTTAGTATCTTAGAAATAGAATAATAACATAAGATTAATTAAAGACAATAATAATTTACAAAAAAATATAAATTTCTATGAGCAAAGAAATGCAAAATAACACCATTAACAATAAATAAAAATAAACGGTATTTTCACTTAGCAAAAATTTTAAATTCTTTCACAGTAAATGAAGTGGAAATAAATATTCTAATTGTAAAACATTCAAGATTTTCATATTTGACAATATGAAGAAACTAAGAAAGTTGTTTCCAGCCTTCTAACTGATTCCATTTCTAGGAATAAATCCAAGGAAAGAACTTAAAGTGCACACCAGAAATGTTTTGTGAAATTTTATTTATTTATTTATTTATTTTTGAAGATGTAGAACACTTTATTTCAAATTTTTTAATAGACAAGGTATGCATTATTAATAATTAATAATTTATAAAAGGCATATGAATAGATGATAGAACTGTAGAAGAATGAGGAACGTGGTCATGAGGTGCTACCTAAAGACTAGCATCCCTCTTTAGAATTACTGTACTCTTTATTCTTCTATCCTAAGACATTATCAATGATCTAATACAATGGAAGACAGACAATGAGTATCAACCAACCTTCTCCTTCATAAACCCTTTTGCCAGAGCAGATAAAAGTTAAAAATTAGGAAGTAAAAAAGAAGAAATTGCTATCCAAAGTACACGTATGAAGACACGAATTGATGCAAATATACTATGTATACAGAGATATAAAAAAATGTGCTCTATATATGTAATAAGAATTGTAATGCATTTTGCTGTCATATATAAATAAAAAAATTACATAAAAAAGAATAAAAAAAGGTATTGTGTTCAACTACAATAAAAAAATAATTTTTTTAAAAAGAAGAAATTGCATTTCTTTATTCTTGGGGCAAAGTTGAACTAATAATAATACCTACTTCATAATATTGTTCCAAGGGATAAATATTAAATACATTTTATAAGTGTAAAGATTAGAAGAGTATCTAGTAAACACTTAATGTATATTATAAATACCAATGTTGTTATCATTATAGTCTCCACTTAATATGTTTATAAGTATAAATGGTGTCCTCTGATAATCTCCTTATCTTTAGTCATGTCCCCTAATAACCTTTTCTCCCACCTCACCACCAGAAACTACATAAAATACAAATACTATCATCTTTTATGCTCCAGTTTTTTGAATAGTACTCTTACCCACAAGAGGCTTATTGTGGATTTACAGTGTTGCCTTAGATCTAATCTAGGCCTTTAACTTCCATTCTTATTTCTACTGCTCACCACAAACTCCCTTTTCTTTAAAATTTTTTTTTATTTTGATTTGTTACATATGACAACAGAATGCATTGCAATTCAAATTATACACATAGAGCACAATTTTTTATATCTCTAGTTGTACACAATGTAGAGTCACATCCTTCATCTCTTCTTACATGTACTTAGGTTAATGATAACCATAGAATTCTACCATCTTTCCTACCTCTATGCCCCTCCCTTCCCTTCCCTCCCCTTTTCCCCTTTGACCTATCTAGAGTTCATTTAATCCCCCTCACCCCCAGTGAAGTGTTATTTATTACTAGCAAAATGCTAGAAAAAATCTAAATGTCCAAACCAGTGAACAGTCTGTTTAGAGGATAGAAAATCCATACAATGGAATAATTAGTAACCTTTAAAATGTATGTTTAATAAGATTTTTTAGTAATGTAAGATGCTACAAAATGACATCAAGGGTTCATTAATCTAACTGTATTTTTAAAAATAGACACCAAAAAAGCTGGAAATGATAATGATCATCATCTGTGGAAGTGGTAGGAATTTAGTTTTTTCTTCACTGTTTTCTGAATTTAAAAAAGAGAAATATCAAGATTTTTAAATAGGGAAAATATGGATCAGTAACATGGAAAATAAAGTAAAATACAAAATGAGGGCAAATGAAACATTCATTTCTTTTCTTCCAAAAATATCTGCCATATAAAGAAAGACTTGTTCCTCCAAAAATGCAAAGTGTATTCCCATTGAGAACACTTTGTTTTACTCTAAAACATTTATTTTAGAATTTTAATTTACCCTAAGTGGTACTATTATATCTGAAACTGCTATCATGGCTCCTAAACTATGCAGAAAGGTATTTTAGAAAACCACAGCATAGTAAACTCACAGGAGTTCCATGAGATTTTTTTTTCTTTTTCTTTTTTTCTTTGTGTGCATAGTGCTGGGGATAAAACCCAGGGCCTCATGTGCTCAGCAATCACTCTACCACTGGGTCACATCCATAGTCCCACAAGTTATTTTATACTTAAGTAAATACAACATCATTGAACATCTGTCAGACATGAAAGGAACAAATTCAATGTAGTTCAATTTCAACATCAGCTCTCTGTGATGCTGTGTTTCAGAAACTGTTATGATAAAAAAGCAATTATCATGAGAAAAATCAATTTGTCATCTAATCTATTCCAAGGTTAGAGAAACTGTGTAGTGCCCAACAGGGGCAAACATTCCATTAGTAGCTGTGTTTATTTTAAAATAAAATGCTTACTAAATTACTAGAACTTAAATACTTAGTGTTTAATGATACTAACTACTTAATAAATGCACTTGTTAGGTATTTCTTTTGATTGAGGAAAGCAATGAAAAGATTACTAAGTTACACAGTGATTACAAACCAAGATAGCTTGGTACTCTGTTTTACTACAATTCTATTACAAATTACAGAATATTCATAACAAAAAAATACAGTTGTAAAAAAAAAAAAAATACATATAGGTACCTGTTGAGAATCCTGCTTCCGATCAGGAGACTTTGGTATTGTTTTTGAAACTCCTATAGCAAATGGTTTCCTAGCTGTAATGGATAAAATAAAACAATCTTATGCATCACATGTATCAGTATTGCTCTAAAAATATTTAAACTTATTTCTAAGACTTAAAGAAATAAAGAACATAAGAAATTCAAGATGAAGCAAAGTTTTGATAATTGTTTAATCCAGATTTAAGGAGTATTTAAGGATTCAGTGTACTATTCAGTGAAGGTTGGAATATTTTCATGATAAAAATTCAAAAATATTTAGAATGATAGCCTCTTTTGTTACTTTCTAAGTTAATAGTAGGAATGTCTCCTTGTACTTTTAGGTTTTTTTCAAACTAATTAAAAAATAAATACTAAGCTAAAAGCTAATCACCTATATTAAAAATGTGCAAAATGAAATATTGACCAATTATAAAGAGCTATAAAGTCAAGATAACCATCATATGGTTGCACTGTATTACCATAGAGAAGGAACAGAACACCTAATGGTATTTCTAAGTCTATCTTAAATTCCCTACTATGGCACGGAAAAAATAATTTATTCATTTAATTTTTTTTCTTTTTGTACCAGAATTGAACCCAGAGGTGCTTTACCACTGCATCCCCAAGACTTTTTATTTTTATTTTGAGACAGGGCCTCACTAAATTGTTTAAGGTTTCCCTAAATTGCTGAGGCTCCTCCGTAATCACTGGGATTATAGGACTCCGCCATCAAGGATGCACAATGAGGGCTGGGGATGTGGCTCAAGTGGTAGTGCACTCGCCTGGCATGCGTGCGGCCCGGGTTCGATCCTCAGCACCACATACAAAGATGTTGTGTCCGCTAAGGACTAAAAAATAAATATTAAAAAAAAATTCTATAAAAAAAGGATGCACAATGATTATTTTCTAAGAGCAGCGTGCCAACAATGGGGAAATGGCAATGAACAAGACAAAATGCCTTGAAGCTGGTCCAGTGTATACCTGTATTGTCAGCTACTTGGGAGACAAGAATAGGAGAATTCAGCCTGAGCAATTTAGCAAAACTGTCTCTAAATAATTTTTTTTTTTTAAAGGGCTGGAAGCCATGCACAGTGGCACACACCTGTAATCCCAGCAGCTCAGAGACTGAGGCAGGAGGAGCAAGAATTCAAAGCCAGCCTCAGCAAAAAGCTAGGTGCTAAGCAACTCCGTGAGACCCTGTCTATAAATAAAATATAAAATGAGCTGGGGAAGTGGCTCAGTGGTCAAATGCCCCTGAGTCTAATCTCCCATACCAAAATAAAAAGGGCTGGGGATGTAAGCTCAATGGTGGAACACCCCCACGGTTCAATCACCAATACCAGGAGAAAAAAAAAAGTCACAGGAGCGCAGTGTACACACATCCTACCTCAGGAGGCTGAAGCAAGAGGATCACAAGTTCCAGGCCAGCTTAGACAATTTAGTAAGATACTGTCTCAAAACTGAAGAAAGGCTGGGGATACAGCTCAGTGGTAGAGTGCCCTTGGGTTAAATTAACATTACAAAAAAGAAAAAAAATTTTCACACCTACCAAATTAGTGGTAAAATTGATTCTTCCCTAATTTTGTATTAAGCTTCATGATTATTGTTAAGCTCCAATGAATTTGATTCTCTCAAATTTTATGAAGAAAACCAACTTAATCATTTTTTAGATAATTTGTACAAAGACACTTGTTAAAAAAGTCAATCCTCATGGATTCTGCCAACTCCCTAAAGTTTACTTGTAACCCTAAAATCAATACTCATAATGCTTTCATAGTCATTCAGACAAGCACTGAGCAGCAAAAACTGAGCTGCTTAAAGGGCACATTCCCTAAAAGGCAACACGTAGCCTTGTCTTAGCTCTTACTGTAAACAAGTATCTTTATGGTGGTCTATTTAGTGCCATATTCTTGCACTTGTGTGCTTTTTATTGGTGACTTCATATTTAAAATGTCCCCTAAGAAGAGTGCTGTCTTTGTAAGAAGGCTATGATGACTGTTGTGGAGAAAATAAATGTATTAGATTAAGTTTTATTCAGACATGAATTAGCACTATTTATGAGTCCAGTATCAATGAATCGACAATATATACTATATAATTTCTGTCTTTAAACAGAAACACATATAGTTATATGTTGATGAATTCACAAAAAATGTTTTGACCAGAGGCTTGCGTTTCCCATAGGAGTACATCACTAGTTTGGGATTTGTAATGACTTCACAGAACATAACTATTGCAAACAATGAGAATCAACTAATCCTCTTCCAACTTGATCAGAGAAAAGAATAGTTTTTTCAAAACTAAATTTTATAATTTCTAAATCTTAATATTAAAATTTTACATTCTTATATAGCAGTATGTATTACCCATATTTATTTTCATTAAAGATCTTTCCTTATTATTAGCTTTTTAGAAAATAAACTATGCTGATGTGGTAGTGTACACCTGTAATCCCAGTGACTCAGAGGCTAAGGCAAAAGGATTACAAGTTTAAGGCCAGCCTCAACAACAGAGAGGCCTGAAGCAATCTAGTAATATCCTGTCTCAAAATTTAAAAAAAAAAAAAAAAAAAAAAAGCACCCCTGAGATCAATCCCCACTACCAAAACTACATAAATAAACTGTAACATTATCAAATTTAACTACATTTCAAAGCATCACTTTAATGAATACAATAATTTATTTATACTTTTCTCAGGAATTACTTGGGATATTCAAAGAAGGGTTCAATTTTAACTTTGAGAGTATCATAAACTGCATTGCTCATTCACATTCATATGCATAATTATTTATCATTACATTCTTAAAAAGACAAGGTTGTTGACAACATATCATAAGAAAAGGCAAAAGATTAATGACATGCTGAAAAAAAATATTTGCAACAAATATCATAAATGGTTAATACATCTAATATATAAATAACTTTCAGCCAGGCATGGTGGTACACATCTGTAACCCCAGCTAATCAGGAAGCTAAGGATTTAAATAAAATTCTTAGAAAGGGCTGGGGATGTAACTCAGTAGTAGAGAGCATGTCGAAATGTGCAAATCCCTGGATTTAATCCCCAGTACCACCAAAAACAAAAAATAAAAAACATAATGCGAAGAGAACAAAATAATGCTTAAATATAAGAAAACATGCTCAATTGCATCTATATTTAAAAGTGATTCAGAAAAGATCTGTGAACTTTACAAATTTGTAAAGGCTCTTAGTAGAAGTGATATTAGTATGCTGATATGGACAATCTGGTGTATACTGTAAACTGAGTAAGTAAATATAGATGTCTTGAGAGCTAGGGTTCTTTCATACTATGGGAGTAAAGAAACATAAATTATACAATGGAGGGAAGAGAAGAATCCTGTGGTGTAGAACCGAGAATAAAGGTATAAATATATAAAGGTTTATGTATTTAAACACAACATTTTCAGATTAAGAATGTTTAACCTGATAGATGCAGTGGCACATACTACTCAGGGCAAGCAAATGGCAAGCTTGAAGTCAGGCTGTACAACTTAGAGACTCTGTTTCAAAATAATAGTTTTTAAAAAGCTGGGGACAAAACTCCATGGTAGAGTCACTTGCTTAGCATGTACACTGCCCTTGATTCAATTCCTAGTACCCCCTCCCCAAAACATAGAAAGCCTAACCTGTATATACATTCATTTACATGTGCCAATATACACACAAACCATACAGAGTATTTCTCCAAGTGTAGCCTAAGAGACTGCAGCTAATTCTGAGAAATGGATTGAGGTATGGTGACAAAAAAGACACTTAATTTTCCTTATATTATCCTCTATTAGAATTGGTACATGTACTGTCTACTTAAAAGACTATGTAGTTCTTTAAAGTAGCAGAAAGCAAGTATCTTCTCATCCTTCTAGCTACAAAGAGAAAGATCCAAAACAAATATATCATTCTAACCTTCAGGACTGCAATCTGGATCATATGTCTGCTGAATTCTTTGTTGTTGAAAGCCAGTATTTTTCTTTTTCAGTGTTTCCAAGCTTTCTAAAGCTGTACTGTGTTCAGACAGTGACTTTAAAAGAGAAATGTTATTTATTACCCCAGAAAGTTCTGAAGAATTTCTAGAATTATTCCAGGATTGTTTGCTTTTTCTGGCAATTGCAACTTCAACATGGTCTTGGGGTAACTTTCTAATTCCTCCCAAGTCTTCAGATTCAGGAATATATACTTCATAGTCTTTTAAAATAGAATGTTTTTTTCCCAGAGGATAAAACAAAGAATTAGAATCTTGGATATCTGATCTATCAAGTGCAACACGTTCACAGTGATCCTGATTGGAATTTAATAGTTGGATACTTTCATCACTGCTAGAAGCTGGGAGTAAAATCTGCTCCTCATTTTTGTCTATGTCACTTCTCAAAATAAAAGTCTGAGGTTGAACATTTTCTGAGAATAGGGCACCATTTTTAGGACTCTGATTAGTGAATATGTCTAAAACTTGAGGAAAATGTAAATTCATGTTTATACCTTTTGACTTATCTGAAAGTGAAGCAAAATCATAGTTAATTCCAATTTTTTTGATAGATTTATTAGCATCTTCTTTATTATATACATATACATCATCATTCCATTCTAAAGATGAGTCAAAATTGCTTAATGTGTCACTATATTCTTCCTCTATTTCTTTTCCAGTGTTTCTATCTTTATAAGGCCCCATGTCAAAACCCACACAAGTTTTATCACAAAACTGTGATACAGTCTCTTTAATAGGAAATATCTCTGTAGGTTTGCTATCAATAGATGTTAAGAGTGGCAAACATACACTGCCAATTTCTTGACAGCTTGTATCCTCACTTTTCTTTTGAACACATAAATTGCCATCGTGAGACAAAATTTCCTTTACCCATCTCTCTGAATCCTGGGAAATTTTGTTTTCCTGTGATTCCTCTTCTGTGTCACTGGTCTCAAAATTGCTCAGATTAAAATTTATCTCCAAAAATGGTCCTGTTACATTACTTATAGATTCATGAACATTATTTAGACTTTCACTATCACTACTACTTTTAGAAAGCACATCTGCAATGCCATCAGAGATCTGAGAATTGTTACTTAGAGAAGATTCGATCTGTAGATGTTCTGATTCCAGCAGAGATGGCACTGGTTGATTATGCTCCTGTTGTGTTGTACCTGTATTGACAACCTGAGCACTTTCTCCAATGCAAACTGATCCTTCCAAGCATATCTTGTCACTTTGATTAACAGGTATTTTATTATTTCCTTGAATGTAAGATTCTGATAATAACCCATCATTATCTGCACTGCTACAACTACCCAGTAAGCTGCTGCTTTCACAGAAAGAAAGTATTTCTACTTTTTCTTCCTGATTCCAGGATTGATAGGTATCATCTACTAGCTGGACTTCATTTCCCTTTTCATCACACGTTTCAAAGTTCCGCATCCTTTTTTGTACCAAAAGGTCTTTCAAATTCAAACTCATATCATCCTCACAAGCTTTAGGTTCCCTTTTTACATCGCTCTCACCTATAGTAGAGGGATGTACGGGTGAACTCTGTGAGGATAAATACATGGCCCACCGGCTTTTATTTCTCATGGTATTTTCTGATTGATGCTGGTCATATAAATTTTCTGTGCTCTTCATCTCAGCACATGCTTCCGGTTGAATTAAGCACTTTGGGTTCACAGGAATGTTTAAATTTCCTTGTGGCTGTACCTGAGGTACATGTCTTGTCATCTCAGAATTTAGGTCCTTATGCATATTGGTTGACTTAGATTTCAAAAGAGCTAATATCTGGGCTTTACTTCTAATATTTTGTGAAACTCCTGGATAGTGAGATGCCAAATTGTCTCTTCTTAGGGGTTCATTGTTCAGTGAAGAGTCTGAATGCTGACTTCCAGTACTGACAGGAGAACAAAAATAATTTTTTTCACCTAGCATTTCTGGGTTAATCATGAAGGATGAAGTAGAGACAACTGAAGACAAAGACATGCTATTTCTCTCTCTGTTCTCATAAGTAACAATATTTTCAAGGTCTCTTGGTATAGTACTTATATCTTTCTTGCCAACAGTAGAAAACAAAGAAGGTATGCTGTTGAATGGAGAAGAGAAAGTATGGCCAGGTTCCTTAGACTCAAGTGATGCAGCTGATTCACCATTTTCTGTAACAATCACTTTTGTTGGGACCTGACGTGGTGCTTTAAAACCCTACAAATATTAAAACAATTGTTAGTGCTACCATTATCTATAAATAAAGTGTGAAATAAACTGGCTGAAAAATAATAAGGAATGTGTGTGCTTTGTCTAAGGTAAAAAAATAAAATTTAAAGCTTGCTAAATTAAAATATAAACAATCATTTGTTAGCAAGATTTTTCTCTGTAGGATTTATTTTTTTTTCTACATAAGTAGATTATGAAGTACCATAGAGTACAATAACTTTAAGGTTCATTACTTTTGGAAAAAAAAAATTTTTTTTTTTTTTTTAATGTGGTGCTGGGGATTGAACCCATGGCCTTGTGCATGTGAGGCAGGCACTCTACGAACTGAGCTATATCCCCAGCCCAGAAATATTTTATAAGTATATATTGATGTATTATTTTCCTCAGAGAAACTTACAGGAAACTTTCTTTTTAAACCAGCAGGCTGACATCCAAGAGACCGGCCAGAGGATATGAACTTCCTTGAATCTGACTGTGGTGCTTCTTTAATAATATTCTGTTTAATAGTTTTGCTTCCAGAAACTTTAACCTCCTCAACTGTGATTAAGTATCGTTCGCTTTCTAAGTCATCTCCAGGTTTCACCTAAATATTAAAAAATAAATGTTAATGGGCTGGGGGTGTAGCTTAGTGGTAGAGAGCTTGCTTAGCATGTGAAAAGCTCTGCACTTGATCCCAAACACCACAAAAAGAAATAAATATATGTTAAAATCTCATACATCTAATTATTTGATTCTATATGTGTTCAATAAACTCACTAGCACTTAGCAACACAAACACATATTCAATAAATAGAAGTTAGGTGAATTAATCAGTAACTAAATTCTTCAATTATTTATTATTGTGCACTAGTTAACTACCAACCACAAAAAAAGATAACAATGCCACTAATTTGTTCATTCAACAAAACAATGCCACTAATTTGTTCATTCAACAATATATACTGGGTTCCTACATAATGTCCTCTGTTACATGCTAGGAATACAAAGACAAGCAAAAAACAAAAAAAGCTTCCTCTCAAGTAATTAACTTAGAATTCATACAACTAAATATACATAATATTTTAATTAAAGCTATAATAATTAATTATATATTTTTATAAATAAATGTAAATTAGTCTGGCATGGTGGCTCACACCTGTAATACCAACTACTCAAACACCCAATACTGCAAAAAAAAAAAAATTTTTTTTAATTAAATTAAAAATTAAATGAGAAGCTGGGTACAATGGTGCACACCTGTAATCTCAGCAGCTCAGGAGGCTGAGGAAGGAGTATTATGACTTCAAAGCCAGCCCCAGCAACTTAGCAAGGCCCTAAGAAACTCAGTGAGACCATGTCTCTAATAAAATATAAAACATAGCTGGGGATTTGGTTTAGTGGTCGAGTGCATCTGAGTTCATTCCCCGGTACCAAAACTAAAAATAAATAAATAAATACAATTATAAACTATTAGTTGCTTAAATAATCACATTCCAAAAATGTATTTTTAATCCCTTTAATGAACAAATGTAGCTCTTGCCACCACTTCTAACTGAAGCATAACATTATGAACCTAGTTTGAAAATATACAAAATCTATCAGATTAATCTTTTACTAATTAAATAATGTAAAATGATATAACAACCATCAATTAAGCATCTACTAAAATAATGCTTCTCAGCCCACATGGTGGTACATGCCTATAATCTCAGTGACTCAGGAGGCTGAGGCAGGAGAATACCAAGTTTGAGTCCAACCTCAGCAATTTAGTGAGGCCCTTAGCAATTTAGCAAGACCTTGTCTCAAAAACAAACAAAAAACATTTTTAAAACGTGGGGATATAACTCGGTGGTAAAGTGCCCCTGGTGTCTATCCCCAGTACCACACACACAAAAAAGGAATCTACTCCTCTACCTGGCCTGGTAGTGTCACCTATAATCCCAGCAATTTGGGAGGATGAGGGCAGAAGGATTACAAACTCAAGTCCCATCTGGACAAGTTAGAGCGATCCTGCCTTAAAATTTAAATAATAATAATAATAATAAAGGTGGATAGGGATGTAACTCTATGGTAAAGTGCTCTGTGTTCAATCCCCAGTATCGTCAAAAAAAATAAGTACAACCACTATTAAGGTCACATAAAATATCAAAATGAATTAAATATAATGACCAAATATCAACATAATGACAATAAAAATATGCATTTTAACATCTTTAGAATCACTGTACTGAACTACTAAGTACTTTATTTCTAATCTTCAAACCAATCCCATAAAGTCTATGACCTAAATTTCACAGTTGAGAAGTTAGAGTCAGGCTAAGTTAGCTAGAAGATGTCTGAAAGCAGGAAACGAACCCAGAACAACCAATTCTGATATTCTTACTCTTTTTTTTTAAAACATTTATTCTTTAGTTGTAGGTGGACACAATACCTTTATTTAGTTTTTACGTGGTGCTGAGGATCGAACCCAGTGCCTCACACATGCTAGGCAAGAGCTTTTTCCTCTGAGCCACAACTAATTAGAACAAATTAAAATATACATAAATACATAGACAAAAAGTTTTCCCATTTATAAGAACAAATTTCAAAAATACATCAAATAGAGCCTTTATGATAAAATTTACCTTTAGTTCCCTCCCTTTCCTTTTTCTAATAGGAAAAAAAACAAAATTAATACTTGAAAAAATACTTAAATGGAAATAATCTCAAAATATATGTTATGGCTTGGATATTAGGTGTCCACCAAAAGCTCTTGTGTAAGACAATCCAAGAACACTCAGAGGTGAAATAATTGGGTTATGAGAGACTTAACCCAATTGATGAATTAATTAACTGTAGGCTGGTAGGGTGTGGCTGGAGGAGGTAGACACTGAGGACATGCCTTTGGGGTATATATTTGGTGAGTTTAGCCTAGTCTCTCTCTGCCTGCTGATCATCATGTGAGCAGCTTTCCTCTGCCACATTCTTTTGCCATGATGTTCGAGCCCTAAGGAATGGAGCCAGCTATATTATGAACTGAGACCTCTGAAACCATGAGCCCCCAAATAAACTTTCCCTCCTTAAAATTGTTCTTGTCAGTTATTTTAGTCACAGCAGTGAAAACACAGTGAAATATTTCCCACTGTAAATCTAAGCCTATCAAAAATTCATGTAACTGGATGTGGTAAGGGTAGGGTGCCTTATAATTCCTGCTACTTAAGAGGCTAAGGCAGAAAGACCAATTAAGCCCAAGAGGAGTTCAGGGCCGGCCTGGACAACATAGTGAGGCCCTATTCTTACAAAAAAAAAAAAAAAGAAAAAATTAAACTCTCAAGTCATTTCTTGAATTTGAATTTCAGCCTTCCACCATAAATCTACATATGAATGTGGGTAAATCACTAAACAATTGTGTTGCACTCTTAGTTTTAATAAATGTTCAACGAATACCACCTATCATTATTAGTATTGGTACCAAGACACTACTATTAATAATGTTAATAAAGGAAATATTTAAAGAGATTTTTAAATTACTTAAAAATAATATAAACACATTCAAATACCTCAAGACACTTAAGAAATAGATTTTCCAAACATACTCCTTTGTCATCATATAAAATTGCCTGTGTAAAAATAAAATAAGAATTAAAAAGGAATAGAATATAATTCTGCTTCACTTAAATATCTTTAATAGTAAAGACCAGTATAACCCTTCATCATGTACAACCAGAAGAATGAGAAGTCAAACTCTACTTACGTATGATATGTCAAAATGCATTCTACTGTCATGTATAACTAATTAGAACAAATTAAAATATACATACATACATAGACAAAAATAGTTTTCCTATTTGTAAGAATAAATTTCAAAAATACATCAAATAGAGAATATTGTGAAAATTGCTATAAGTAAACCATGTAATGAAATGATTATATTATTTTATTTTACTAGATTTGAAATGAATATTTCAATGTTTATTATGCACCTACAGAGTCTGTACAAGAGAATGAAGGTATTCACATAAGAAATTCAAGATCTTGGGCCAGGTATGGTGGGGCACGCCTGTAACCCGTGTGTCATGGAAGGCTGAGATAGGAGGATCACAGGTTCAAAGCACCTCAGCAAAGGTGAGGCACTAAGCAATTCAGTGAGACCCTGTCTCTAAATAAAATACAAAAGAGGGCTGGGGATGGGGCTCAGTGGTTGAGTGCCCCTGAGTTCAATCCCTGGTACCAAAAAAAAAAAAAAATCAAGAACTTGGGCTAGGGCTATGGTTCAGTGATAGAATGCTTGCCTAGACCTGAGTTTGATTGCCCCATACTACACTGGAAAAAGAGAGGTTGGGAACTGAAAGAGAAAAAATTTCAAGAATTTAATTCCTACCAGGAGGATCTTGGAATTGAATTAGGAAGGAAAACAGAACTGGAACACATTAGAGGGCACAAACAGAAGACAAGATCAATTAAAAGATTACTGTATTCTATGAAGAATTGAGAATATTAGGGCTTGAAATAAGATGCTGTCATGGGGGATAGAGGTGTTTATGAGGGACACTGAATTAAATTTGTTGAATGTGAGGGTTAAGGAAGACAAAAGAAGCTAAGATAATCATCATCTTCTAGCTCCTTTTCTGTCCCTAGTCATTTCTCTTAGTAATTTCTCTACTAACCCATGTAATATTGGTATTTCCATCACTTTGAAAAACAATTTGGCAGTTCCTTAAAAGATTAAACATAAAGTTATCATATGACCCAGCAATTCCACTTGTAGGTATATATCTCAAAAGACATAAAAACATGTGTTCATAAAAATTTCCACACAAATGTTCACAGCAGCATTATTGATAATAGTAGACAGTAGAAATAACCCAAATGTATATCAACTGATGAATGGATAAAGCATGATACAATATGTATATACAAAGGAATACTATTCACCAATAAAAAGTAATAAAGTATTGATACATGCTTCAACATAAATGAAACTTGAAAATATTAAGCGAAATAAAATAGTCATACAAAAGATTATATAATTTCATTCTTGTGAAATGTCCAGAATAGGCAAATTCATAAAGACCATGAATAGATTCATATTTGCGTAGGGATATAGGCTCACTACTTAGGTTGTAAGCAGTAACTGTTCCTGGATATGAGATTTCTTTTAGGGGTGAAAAATGTAATAAATTTAGATTGTGCTGATGGTTGAAAAATTATAAATATACTAAAAATTACTGAATGGGTGAATTTTAAAATGTGTAAGTTATATGTCTAAAATTGCTGAAAATTTCATATTTTTAAGGACTCTGTTCTTCTTCCTTTATCCTTTTCATTCTACATTCTCTCCCTGAGCAATATCATCCATACAAATTACATATTATTACACATCCGCTTAAATCATTCTAATGGGAGCTGGGGTTGTAGCTTAGTGATAGAGTGGTTGCCACTCACTGTGCAAGGCACTGGGTTCAATTCTCAGCACCATATATAATAAATAAAAATAAATAAAGTTCCATCAACAACTAAAAATTTTTTTTCTGAATAATTGTAATGTCTCCATAGCTTCCTAAGAAAAAGAACAAGTCCCTATAATAGCAAATAAGGCTTACAGAATCCTTCTTTATCTCCATTCTCGCACTTGTTCACTCTACTCCAACAGCTCTGATCTCCCTATTTGTCTTTTTTTTTTAAGAGAGAAAGTGAATTTTAATATTTTTATTTTATTTTTTTTAGTTTTCGGCGGACACAACATCTTTGTTTGTATATGGTGCTGAGGATCGAACCCGGGCAGCATGCATGCCAGGCCAGCGTGTTACCGCTTGAGCCACATCCCCAGCCCCTCCCTATTTGTCTTATCCATGACGTACATATTAATCTAATTTACTGGTCTCTCTCCTCCATGTTATTTCTACAAAATCAGTGATTTATGTGTTTTGTTTCCTGCTGCATCCCCCAGAACAGGCATTGAGAAACCAAATAACTTGCCTAAGATTACAAATCTACTAAATGAAGGGCTAGGATTGAAACTAGGGTATATTTGTATTTGATGTTAACTGCTCTTCTACTCTGCTTCCATGTGTCATTTTTTTACTTTTCCCACTGGCTTCAATAAATACACATTTATTGATTGATGCCTCAATTAATAGAAAATAAATATCTGACAATTTCAATAGTTAGATAAAAGGCATTACTAGCAGGAAAACAGTACAAGCAATAGGTTGGATTTGAAATAGTGCTATTTAGATTACAGTAAGATAATTAACTTTTCCTAAATTTCTGGAACTAATTTGAATTTCTCTATTTTCTGGTAAACTAACCTGTATGAGGTTTATAATGGGTACTTAAAAAATATATGCTATAGTTAAGTTCAATAATAGTACTAATAGGACCATAACATTATGATTTAGAACCAGAAGAAGTTATGAAGAGCCAGACGCTGTGGTGTATGTCTGCAATCTCAATGACTCAAGAGGCTGAAGCAGGAGGGTCACAAGTTCAAAACCAACCTCAGCAACTTAGTGAGGCCCTGTCTCAAAAATGAAAAGGCCTGGGGATATGGCTCAGTGGCAAAAAGTGCCTCTGGGTTCAATCCCCAGTAACAACAACAAGTTATGAATGATATGCAGAATCCAAACAGATCTATCTTTTTTTTGTTTTGAGGATGGACCAAGGATTGAACCAAAGGGCTTTTTACCACTGAGCCACACCCCAGCTCTTTTTATTTGTTTGTTTTGAGACAGGGTCTTACCAAGCTTTTAGGACATTGTTAAGTTGCTGAGGCTGACTTGGAAATCCCAATTCTCCTGCTTCAGCCTCTCATGCCACTGGGATTACAGGCATGTTCCACCACACCTGGCTCTGGTCAGATCTCTCTTTTAAGATTTTGAAGATTTTTAAAAATCTTTAAGATTTTTGAAGGCTTTGGCTCTAAACAAATAAGAAGGATATAAGCAAGGGCTGAGGCTGTAGCTCAGTGGTAAAGTGCTTGCTTCATATGTGTGAGGCACGGGGTTCAATCCTCAGCACCACATAAAAATAAAAAAAGATACTAAGTGTTCATCTACAACTAAATAAATATTTTTTTAAAAGTCTATTCCTTCAATCCAAGAAGGATATAAACAAAAAAATAAATAAATTTTTATGTTTGTGTGTGTGTGTGTGTGTGTGTGTGTGTGTGTGTATGTGTGTACAAGGGATTTAAAAAAATATAGACGTGGACAGGACCATACATTCATTTATTCAAAGAGGAAAATTAGATGATGATATGATGTAAACACAGAAATTACCAACTCTGAGACCAAATCCTTTTAAAAAGCACAGATTGAGATCCTGTTGTTACTGCAACTGAACACAAGTTTCAGCATTTCCCTTGATGATGGTAGAGTTACCCTGATTATCAATATCTCAAGGTCTCAAGTTCCAGCCCAAAATGTTAGCAATCTCAGGCTTTTCTTATAATGAAAACCCTATTTACTGAGATAGTAACATTTTCTTTATTCAATAGGAAAGTACCTTTAAAATCTTGAAACCTTTAAACTAAATATAGTAATAATAAAGTAATTCAAACCAAGATTAGGATCATAAATAGTTTCAATAACAAGGCAATCTGATGTTGGAAATTATAATCTGATATTTAAATATCTTCTGTTACTTTTAATTTTTAAAATGATTTCAATTTAAAATGTGTAATTGAGAAGTTGATTTTGAATATTCAACTTTTTATTTAGTTTTGTTGTTTTGTTTTGTTCTTGTTTTTTGCTACTGGGCATTGAACCCAAAGGCACTAGTCATATCCCCAATCAATTTTTTATTTTTTATTTTGAGACAGGGTCTCAAAACAGCCCTGCTAAATTGCTGAGTATGGTTTTGAACTTGCAATCCTCCTGCCTCAGCCTCCCAAGCCACTGGGATTACAGGTGTGTGCTACTGAGTCCAGCCTATGTAGTTATTTGTTTACTTACTTTGCAGTGATAGTGGTTGAACCCAGGGCCTTGAATATGGTAAGAAAGTGTCTGCTCCAGTGCTACAACCCACCCCACTTAACTTTTTCATTGAAAGGAAGAGTAAGTAAATTTTACTAGGATAACAATATTAAACCAGAATGGTGAAGCAACTCAGCAGACTGAGATAGGAGTATCACAAATTCAAGGCAAGGAATTTAGCAAAACCTTGTCTTAAAATAAATAAAAATTTTAAAAAGCTCTGTGAGGGAAGAATAGAAGTTCATTAGATAGACAAAGGCTAATGAAGGAAAGGGAGAAAGAATGAAAACAGGAAAGACAATAGAATGATTGGACATAACTTTCCGATATTCATATATGAATACACGACCAGCCACTCACTTACAACTACAAGAATAGGAAGCTGCCAGTCATGGTAGTGCATGCCTGTAATCCCAGTGGCCTGGAAGGCTGAGACCTTGTGAGTTCAAAGCAGCCTCAGCAACAGTGAGGCACTAAGCAATTCAGTGAGACCCTGTCTCTAAATAAAATACAAAATAGGGCTGGGGATGTGGCTCAGTGGTTGAGTACCCCTGAGTTCAATTCCTGGTGTCAAAAAAAAAGAATGGGAAGTTATACTCAGTGTACATATAATAATATCAAAGTACATTCTACTGTCATGTATTAAAAAGAATTTAAAAAAAAATAAAAAGCTCTGGGGATATAGCTCAGTGACAGGGAAAAATAGCATATTAAAAAGACTTTAAGGGGGGCTGGAGATATAGCTCAGTTAGTAGAGTGCTTACCTTTCAGGCACAAAGCCCTGGGTTCAATCCCCATCACCACAAAAAAAAAAAAAAAAAAAAAACTTTAAGAGAAACTGTATTCATTTTAATCTATTAGAATTACAATAAGGGCTTAAGTACTTGGAAAGAATTTGTTAGCAAAAACTAAAACATTAAAGAAAGAAAAATCAAGGCCCACACCAGTGGCTCAGGCCCACCCACAATCTCAGCAACTCAAGAGACTGAGACAGAAGGACTGCAAGTTCAAAGCCAACCTCAGCAACTTAGCAAGTCCCTTAGTAACTTAGCAAGACAGTCTCAAAATAAAAAAGGGTTGGGGATGAGGCTCAGTGGGAAAGCATCCCTGGGTTCAATCCCTGGTACCAAAATAAATAAATAAAATATTAATTTTTTATAAGAATTGTGAATAACCTCTACTGAAAAGCTTCCCTCAGTGAAAACCTCACAATGACTGATAGAATAAGGATGAAATATGGAGATTTTAGCTGGTAGACTGAGGAGGAGGAACTTCATTCAGGAGGTCACAGAGGTTGTCAATGTATTATATAATAAGTTATACTCCATGTATGTATAATACGTCAAAATACACACTACTGTCATGTATATCTAAAAAGAATAAAAAATGTATTATATACTATCATCAATTCAACTGTAATAAAATCATTTTAAGTTAATAACATTAATAGACAGTATTACCCTAATACATGTATGATTACATGACTGGTGTGACTCTGCACCATGTAGAGACAGAGGAATGAGAAGCTGTGCTCCATTTGTGTACAATGTGTCAAAATGCATTCTGCTGTCAGGTATAACTAATTAGAACAAATTTTAAAAATAATATTAATAGAGATAGTTAGAACATGGGCTCTGAGCGAGAAAGCCTAAATATGACTCCTCCACTCTCAAGCTGTGAGATCCTTGGGCAAGCTACTTCACCACTCTGTGCCTCGGTTTTATCCTCACTAAAATAAAAATTAAAGATAGTTTGAGGCTGGGGAGATAGTTCAGTTGGTAAAGTGCTTGCCTAGCATGCACAAGGCCCTGAGTTCAATCCCCAGCACCAAAAAAAAAAAAAAATAGTAATTCTTGCTAGGCACGGTGGTGCACGCCTATTATCCCAGCAGCTCAGGAGGCTGAGGGTGAGACAGGAGGATCACGAGTTCAAAGCCAACCTCAGCACCAACAGATGCTAAGCAACTCAGTGAGACTCTGTCTCTAAATCAAATATAAAATAGGGCTGGGATGTGACTCAGTGATCGAGTGCCTCTAAGTTCAAACCCTGGTACCAAAAAAAAAAAAAGTAATTCTTAGGAGAATTATGCAGACTAAGTAAGTTGATATATTTAAAGCATTGTGCCTGACACAGTAAATACTTAATGAATTTTTTAGTCAAACAAATTAATACTTTTTCTGTGTGTGTGTGAGTGCGCTTGTGTGTGGTGCTAGGGATTGAATCCAGGGCCTTGTGCATGTGAGGCAAACACTTTACCAACTGAGCTATATCCCCAGGTCCTAAATAATACTTGTTAAACTTTTATAATGTACAAATTACATACTGCAATATGGAAATCATTTGAAAATTTCTATTTTCACATTATTAGTATATGGATATACCTAACACTTCATCATCTACAGTTTTCTTAATATTCAATAAAAAAAAACAAGAGCTTAGCTCTTAGACTCTGTAGTCAACTGCTCTGAACTTACTTTGTTTCCTAAGTGAGTGATCTTCAGAATTCCATCTTGCCACACTTTTGACTTCTTCATCTTTTGATGAGTATATAGGACCTTATTTCCAAAGTACAAAAGAAAAGAAAGATTCTTTTTATATATTCAATGTCACATATTTTATATACATTTCCCACACATAAAAAATATTAAGATACCTTTTTTCTTATTAGTGCAGTATCACAACAATATCAACATTAATGAAAGAAAGAGACTGGGGGTATAATTAAATGGTACAGTATGTGCTTAATATGTATGAGGCCCTGAGTTTTGTTTTTTTGAGTTAAAAAAGAAAGAGGAGGGGCTGGGGTTGTGGTTCAGCTGTAAAAGTGCTCACCTAGCATGTGTGAGGCCGTGAGCTTGGTCCTCAGCACCACATATAAACAAAAAAATAAAGGTCTTGTGTCCAACTAAAACTAAAAAATAAATATTATTTAAAAAAAAAAAAAAAGAGGGGCTGGGTGGTATTCTCTGGGTGGTATAGCTCAGTGGTAGATTGCTTGCCTGAGTGAAGCCCTGGATTCAATCCCCAGTACCATAATAATTAAAGAAAGAAAACAAAAGTTAGCTAGAGGGGTAGATGATAAAAAGCAGAAAGAACAGGTAAAATATAAGGGAGAAACTGAGAAATTAATAGTACCAAAAATAATTCTGAGCTTTCAGCGGACACAACATCTTTGTTTGTATGTGGTGCTGAGGATCGAACCTCGGCGGCACGCATGCCAGGCGAGTGCGCTACCGCTTGAGCCACATCCCCAGCCCAATTCTGAGCTTTCAAGTAATCAGTTGGAAGGGGAAAATTACTGGGTACTCAAGATTCATGTAGCCAAGCTAGGCACAGAGGTGCATGACTATAATCCCAGGTGACATGGAAGGCTGAGATAGGATTGCTAAGTTTGAGAACAGCTTCAGCAACTTAATGAGATCCTGTCTCAAAAAAAAAATTTTTTTAAAGAGCCTGGAGATGTAGCTCTGTAGCTCAGTGGTAATATACGTGCATTCAATTCCCACTACTGGAAAACAAAAACAAAACAGAACAAAACCCTCATGCACTTCTTCAAGTGAGGTTCAGAGACTTGTGGAGGTCTCCAGGACTTTTATAAGCATCTGTGAGGTCAAAACTATTTTCACAATGATTTTGTCTTTCCATTCTTATGCCTATAGGTGCGGAATGGGTTTCTCAAGTTACATATGTGCAATGCTGCTAGATTAAACTGTTAAACGAATGCAGAAAAACAGAATCCAATTGTTTTCTACTAAATCAAATGTTGGGCTGGGGATGTGGCTCAAGCGGTAGCGCGCCCTCCTGGCATGCATGCGGCCCAGGTTCGATCCTCGGCACCACATACAAAGATGTTGTGTCCGCCGAAAACTAAAATAATAAGTAAATAAATAAATAAAATGTTAAAAAATTTTGCAAAAAAATGTATAACAATACTAGTCTTCTCAATGTTTTTTCCTGCAATTGTTCTTGTTCTAGAAAAATTAAGTATTTTTAATTTAAAATGCTATTCATCGGGGTTGGGGATGTGGCTCAAGCAGTAGTGCGCTCATCTAGCGTGCGTGCGAACCGGGTTCGAATCCTCAGCACCACATACAAAGGAAGATGTTGTGTCCGCCGAGAACAAAGAAAAAATAAATAAATGTTAAAATTCTCTCTCTCTCTGTCCCCCTCTCTCTCTCACTCTCTCTTTAAAAAAAAATAAAATAAAATAAAATAAAATGCTATTCATGCTGGGCACGGTGGCACATGCCTGTAATCCTAGCGACCCTCGGGGCTGAGGCAGGAAGATTGCAGTTCAAAGCCAGCCTCAGCAAAAAGCTAGGCGTTAAGCAACTGAGTGAGACCCTGTCTCTAAACAAAATAGGGCTGGGGATGTGGCTCATTGGTTAAGTGCCCTGAGTTCAATCCCTGGTACCAAAAAAAAAAAAAAAAAAAATAGGGTGGGGCTGGGGATGTGGCTCAATGGTCAAGTACCCCTGAGTTTAATCCCTGGTACCCCAAAATAAATAAATAAATAAATTTTAAAAAATAAAATAAAACATTTTTTTATGTTAACATGTAATGAGTTTATTATTATTATTACCTTTTAATGAATTCAGAGATATTTTGTTTCTGTTTTAACTTCTGTCTTCCTTTCTCTCTTTTTCCCCCAATACAGGCACTGAACCCAGCTTTATTGCTGAGCACCATCCCCAGCTCTCCACATTCCATCCATATTCTGTCTAAAGCTGGGTTTATAGGCATGTGCCACCAGGCCTGGCTTGTTTTAACTTCTAATATTTAAAAAAAAAAAATCAACATACAATAACTCTACATACAAAAGTTCTTTGGAGTCTGAATTATTTTTCTAGAGTATAAAAAGTTCCTAACACCATATAATGTGAGGAGCACTATCTAGACATAAGAGGCATATCAGGTCATCAAGAGAAACAAATTATTTCCCAGACCCCAAGCTTCCAAAGAATACAGAAGGCTTTGTATAATCAAAATAGTGCAGTATTTTGGACATAACTAGAAAACTATTTATTTGAATTCAGACATAACTAGGTGTCTTGCTTCTTGGTTTTTTTGTTTGCTAAAACTGGCAACTCTAGCAAGACATTTGAGAAATGTCAGGAAGGAAGGAGGGAAAGAAGAAAGCAAGGGAGGGAAGAGGAAAAAAACAAAAAAAATGTAAAAATTAGTAAGACTTACAATAAATTCTTGGTTTTCCATTTTTTCTTCTGAAGTTATAAACTAGTTAGATCCAGAAAATAATCAGTACTTATGCATTTATACCACCTAAAATAAAAAATGAAATAGAATATTAAACCTTGGTAAAAAGAATAAGTAGCAAATATAAATCTTTCCAATAAACGCTTGACCAGAGGCCAGAATTAAAGATTCCCAAGAATAACTACTAAGGGAAAGAGAGGTGCAATCAAATTATCTGTTACTAGGGACACAGAGTAATATCATGTTGTAAAAAAAAGGACCTACCAAGTCGGACATGGTGGCGCACACCTGTAACCCCAGAAGCTCAGGAGGCTGAGGCAGGAGGATTGCAAGTTCAAAACCAGCCTCAGCAAAAGCGAGGCACTAAGCAACTCAGTGAGACCCTGTCTCTAAATAAAATGCAAAATAGGGCTGGGGATATGACTCAGTGGTACAGTGCCCCTGTGTTCAATGCCCAGTACCAAAAAATAAAAATAAAAAAAAGGATCTGCCAAATAGAGAAAATGAAGTAGAACATATAAACATTGTTTTATATCTTAATAAGAGTCTACAAACAGTACTCCTGATATAATGTCTATTTAGAAATGGATTTTTCTTTCCACATAAATAGTTTCCTCATAGCCTGATACCTTTTGTAAAATTTTCTGAATTGCTACAGTCACCACAAGATGGCCCCCTCGTGTTTTAAATTTTTCCTTTTACAATGTCCAGTTGCCACTGATTGCGAGGACCTCCTCCCCCACCCCCGCCACAAATACCAAAATCTGTAAGTGCTTAAGTACCTTATATAAAATGGTATAGATTTTGCATATAACCTATGTACATCCGCCCATATATTTTAAGTCATCTCTAGATTACTATAATACTTAAAACAATATAAGTAACACGCAAATAGTTGTTAAACTGTATTGTTTAGAAAAACAGTCCATATATATTCAATAGAAATGCAATTTTTTTCTGAATATTTTCATTGTGCACTTGGTTAAATTTACAGAGATAGAACCATGGATATGGAGGCCTGACTGCACATTAAGGTCAATATAACTGAGTATCCTTGGACCAAATATATATTACATAATACTTCTGCAAGGAAAATCTTCAATATTGCTGCAGAAGATACTATAGCTACTCTGTTTTACTGGATAAAATCATGTTGGCAAATTTGGAAAATGAAATCATTGATTGAGCTGGATATAGTGCATGCTTGTAATTCTAAATACTCCAAGAGCTAAGGCAAGAGAATTAAGATTTTTTTTAATCATTGTTTTAATATTTTTAGTGGTAATGAATTGCTGAGGATCGAATCGAGTGCTTCACGCATGCTAGGTAACCACTCTACCACTGAGCTACAATCCCAGCCCCAAGGCAGGAGAATTAAAAGTTCAAGGCTTACATTGCCAATTTAGCAGGATCCTGCCTCAAAATAATATTTTTTAAAAATATTTTTAGTTGTTAATGGATCTATTATTTTTATTTATTTATATGAGACATTGAGAATCGAACCCAGGGCCTCACGCATGCCAGGCAAATGCTCTACCACTGATATAAAATTTTATGAGCCAGGCATGGTGATGCATGTCTGTAATCCCAACAGTTTGGGAAACTGAGACAGGATGACCTCAAGTTCAAAGCCAGCCTCAGCAACTTAGTAAGACCCTTTCTCAAAATTTAAAAAATAAAATAAAAACGGCTGGGGATGTGGTTCAATGGTATAGTATCCCTGGGTTCAATCCCTGCCAATAATAATAATAGAATTTTATGAAAGAGCTGGGGATGTAGCTAAGCGGTAGAGTGCTTGCATAATGTGCAAGGCCCTGGGTTCAACCCCCAGTACTGCAAAAACAAATAACTAATGGTGAACTGAAGAAATAGAGATGTCGAAGGAAGTGTTTCCAAAAGGTATGCTCTCTGGACCAGTAACATTACGTAGGAATTAGAAATGAATATTCTCAGGTCTCACTTTTTTTTTTTTTTTTTAAGTACTAGAGTTTGAATCCAGGCATGTCCTATTACTGAGCTACATTCCCAGACTTTTTCTTAATATTATTGTATTTTTTATATCTTTATTTAATTAATTTATTTTTTTACATGGTGTTGAATATCAAACCCATTGACTCACATGTGCTAGGCAAGCGCTCTACCACTGAGCCACAACCCTAGTCCCTCCCAGCCCTTTTTATTTCTTGAGACAGGATCTCACTAAATTGCCCAGGCTGGCCTCAAACTTGTGACCCTCCTAGTTTCAGCCTAACAAGCAGCTGGGATTATAGACATGCCCCACTGCATCTGCCTTCAGATCCCACTCTTGACCTATTAAGTCAGAAAGTCTAGGGTGAGGGCCCAACAATCTATACTTTAGCAAGCCCTCTAAGTGGTGGTAATGCATGTTCAAGTTTGAGAATACAGTCCTAAAATAGAGGGATTCAATAAAACAAATTTGTGATTCTGGATTCAGTTCTTCCCTTCCATACATAAAATATGCCACCTACATATTATTTGTAAATTGGGTATATTTATTCAAAGCTTACTAAGTGCCATTCATTGTCTAGATTGCTATTAAATTAATGAAATGATATCCCTCATCTCAAGAAATTTTCACTAAAGCTGAGTGATTTTAAAAAAAAAAAATTACAATAAAATGCAATAGGAATTAGGACAGAAAGAGTGTGCAACTTGGTCTAAAATATTAAATAGTTTCCTGAAGGAAGGGATGTCTAAGATTTAAGCTGAAATAATCATTAACCAAGGAAAAATGGCAGTGAAGATCTTCCCAACAGGAAACAAGATGTATAAGGGCAAGCCTGATCAGAAAACTCCGGGTAGTCTAAAGAGAAAAGTGCTACAGTAAGTATTGAGAGAACAGGCTGGATTCAGAGAACTTTCTATGTTATGCCAATGAGTCTGGACTTTTATTGAAGACAGCAGAAGACACAGCAGTTTTTTAAAAATAAAATGACATAATCTAACTTGGATTTCACAAAGATCACTTTAGTTGCCGAGAAAGGATGACATAAGAGGTAGGCCAATGGGATATGCATACTTGCCTCAGGAGACAGGTCACAGGACAGGACCCACTAACCCTAACTTTCAGAAATATATTTGTTAGGGAGAACTTGACTTGAGCAACGCGATTTTGGGTTTTGTTGTTGTTTGATTTTTCATTTGTTTTACTTAGTTATACATGACATCAAAATGCATTTCGAAAGATTGACATTAAACAGAGGCACGAGATGGGAGGGAAAGAGAGAGAAAAGGGGAATTGCATGGAAATGGAAAGAGACCCTCATTGTTATAAAAAACTACATAAAAGAGGTTGTGAGGGGAATTGGAAGAAAAAAACAAGGAGAGAAATGAATTACAGTAGATGGGATAGAAAGAGAAGATGGGGGAGGGGGATAGTAGAGGATAGGAAAGGTAGCAGAATACAACAGTCACTAGTTTGGCACTATGTAAAAATGTGAATGTGTAACCGATGTGATTCTGCAATCTGTATTTGGGGTAAAAATGGGAGCTCATAACTCACTTGAAACTAATGTTTGAAATATGATATGTCAAGAGCTTTGTAAGGTTTTGAACAACCAATAAAAAAAATAAAATAAAATAAAATCTCAAAACAAAAAAAAATGCATTCGATTCATTGTACACAAATGGTTCACAACTTATCATTTCTCTGGTTGTATATGATGTAGAATCGCACCATATGTGCAGTCATTCAAGTACCTAGGGCAATGATGTCCATTTCATTCCACTATCTTTCCTGCCCCCATCCCCCTTTCCTTCCTTTCCCTCCCCTTTGTGCAATCAAAGTTCTTCCATTCTCCCCAGGACAATGCCATTTTGAAACATATCCTCCCTCTTAGAAAAATGATCACCCCCACAGCAACTCTGACCCAGCCTAACCTAAACCCCAAACAATACTCCATCATTACACAAAATAAGGGAATTGTTATCTGGGACTGAAATCTTTAAGATAATACCTTGTTATACATGGACTAGGGTCTACCACAAAGAATGAAGGTGATGACCAAAAGGACCCTTCCCTGACAACCCCTAAGCAATGGCATAGTCACAAAAATTTCCCCATTCCCTCACTACTCTATAACTTCTGTAGGCTATAAGAGGAAGATGGTTTGATCCTCCCCCTGGAATCCCACCGGCAGGTCTGTCCAAAATAAATCTGAGTTAATGTTCAGCTGCTTCTCCTAGCACCTTCTTTATTTCCTTTGTTCAGTTCTTTCCTTACAGCAACTTCTTTTATACCCCTTTCCTTCAGCCCACAAGAATTACTGGATTATCTAAGTATGCTAACAAAATTTAAGATTCAGAGAGGGCTGGGGTTATAGCTCAGGGGTAGAGCGCTTGCCTCGTGCATGTGAGGTACTGGGTTCAATCCTCAGCACCACATAAAAATAAGTAAAATAAAGATACTGTGTCTGTCTTAAAAAAAAAAAAAAAAATTCAGAGAAACATATCCCTGGTGGTTTTGGAGCAACTTGCTCCCACCACGATAAGCTGTATATTATATGTATACAGATGATAAAATACACAGTATGAATACAGTGCATGCAGCAGTTAGTATATAGCAGTTATTAATATTGAACTCTTTAATAATAGCTATTATTATTCAGTATAATTATATGCTAGACACTGTTAAAATGCTTTAAATGTATACAGCCTTATGATATAGACACTATTTCTATATCCATTTAACAAAGAAACTGAAAGACATAATAATTGAGTAACTTGCCCAACGTTATAAATAAATGGCACATTTAGAATTCAAAACAAAATTGTGTACATCAAGTACAACCAGAGAAATGAAAAGTTGTGTTCCAATTGTGTACAATGAATCAAAATGCAGTCTGTCATATATATCTAATTTAAATATTTTCATTAATAAAAAACACACAAAAATGTGTAAACACTGGTGCTCAAACTCATAAATACTAACTTATATAACTATTTATTAACTACCTACATGTTTTAGGCAGGAATTAGACTAAACCTTACATAAATTTATCAGTCTCATCATCCCAAACAATAGATATGAGAGGTAGGATAATAACTAACTTAGCATTCATGAAATCTTCTGTGCACCAAAAAAAGTAAGCATTATCATCATGATTTACATATTAGGAATTTAGTATTCACTCTTTTAGGGTTACTTTTATGTGATTATACTAGAAATTCCCCAGTATTGCAAAATAAAGTCCCTACTATTTTCCTAAATTAAAGTTAATACTTCTGGGATTTTTTTCTCCCCAGTGCTGGATATTGAACCCAGGGATGCTCTACCACTGAACTATATCCCCAGCCCTATTTAATTTTTACTTTGAAACAGGATCTTGCTAAGCTGCTTAGGGCCTCACTAAGTTACTGAGATAAGGCTAGAATGAGGTATCCTTCTCCTCAGCCTCCCAGATCACTGGGATTATAGGTATGCACCACCAAGCCCAGGTGGAATTTATTTTTAAATTAGAATATTCTCCATGTTTGTATAAATATGTCAAAATATATACTGTCATGTTTATATAAAAAGAAAAAAAATTTAAATAAAAAAGAAATTGTGACGATTCAAACTCTCTAACAAGGTAAATTCGATTATGGGATTTAAACCTAAAAGAAAAGCTAACTGGATTTTAAAATATTTAGAAGAGTCCTTATACTTATATTCAATGAGGGTCAACAACCTTAACTTGCTTTTTTTTTTTTTCTTTTCTTTTTTTCTTTTTTTGCAATGCTAAAGATACAACCCAGAACCCTGAGCATGCTAGGAAAGTGCTCCATCACTGAGCTACAGTCCCAGGCCCTCCTTTCTTATCTTACTATCAAACTGGGGAGGGGGAAATGGTTTTAGCCAACAGCATTATATTCAACTGAAGTACAAGGGTAAAATATTTTCTCAAAGTGTTAATCTGTCCAAATTGTTCAGACAATTCAACTGTTGACCATCCTCTAGTAGGTGAAAGATTAATCTGAAAAGTTTTTAAAGTTGCTGTGGAAACTACAGATGTTCTCTGACAATTAAATATGCTCATACATATAAATATACATTTTTGTGCTGCTATATATACAAAATTACATATCTATGTTCTTAGTAAAATATGGACCATTCTTCCTATTATGACGAGATGTTTTGGGGTTTTTTTGTTTATGAACAAGCAGGATTTTCCAAACCTAAATGTGGACCTCTAAGTAATTCAGGCTGAAAAGTTTCAGAATCAGGAACTCAACGGAAATAACAAGATTTCTGTTAAGAAACTATTCCAGCTGGGGGCGCAAGCCTTGCATTCTCAGCAGCTCAAGAAACTAAGGCAGAAGGATCACCCCAAATTCGAGGCCTGTCAGGGCAACTTAGTGAGACCCTACCTCATTAAAATAAAAAGGCTGGGGATGTAACCCAGGGGTAGATCGGCCCTGGGTTCAATTCCCAACACACACAAAAAATAAGAAAATTAACATTCCAAATAACAACAACAAATCCATACATTTCATTAGCCAAGACTACTATAAAAAAAAAAAAATTCCTGTGTCGCCAAATTGACAATGAAAACTTGGTCACTTGATCTTTTGGCAGTCCTAAAATCAAAGAGTAAAACTCTCTCTGATCCTCATACTAAGGACCAGAATTGCAAAGCAGGGCCTAGCAAAGATATGAAGATGAGGCACAGATTATTGGTAGTTGAAACCAGCTGTGTCGACTACCACTTCAATCTTGGTTTTCAAACAACAACTTCCCGATCTGCTACTGCTTCGCCCCACATCGTTCAAATTTCCCTGCCTGTCCACCCTTCATTCCCCGGGAACCCCAAGAAACACTTCATTTCACCTGTCCCATTGCACAAAATCCACTTTCGAATTTCTCCCGCGAACGAGTGTGACGTCACTAACCTGAGACCGCACCAGCTGAGGACCCAGTCCTTAGCCCGCCCACCACCGTCTCAGCCTGAACCGCCGTTTTCAATCGGCCAATCAAATTCTTCATTGGCTTCGCGCCTCCTCAGCTGGCCGTGCTTCCTGAAGCCCCACCTCCTTGGAAGCAGCTGTCACCCGTGACGTCTGCGACGGACGCACGGCATCCGGCTGGGGGGACGCGAGAACGGTGTCGCTCGTCGTATGACGCGAAATAACCACGACTTTAAGGCTCGGGAGACGGAAAGGACTGAAGGACGCAGTCTCTGACCCTGTATTTTGGGGATTGATCCGAGTAAGTGACAGGTGGCGTTTAGGGCGCTCAGGTTGGGTGAAGTCTAAATTCCTCTCAGTCCTTTTTCATGCCGTCTATTGTATCATCTGTCTCCTTCCTACCCCGCCCCCTCCCATCAGTTCGCTTGGCCTCGTACCCCTTGCGCACGCGCAGAAGTCCTGTGGCGGCCCACGTAGTTCCAGTTTTGGAGCTATGGGGGCGCGCAGTGACTGGCGTTGGGAGGGTTGGGGCACGCCCCACATTTGGCTGCGTCTCTGCGGAAGTACTAGAACAGTGATTCTTGACCCTTTTTGGCACACGCGTTGTTTTGAAAACCAGAAAAAAAGTTATTGATGAGCTTCCCAGGAAAATGTGTCTTTGAAAAAACTTTTTGTGTAGAATTTCATAAGGAAAAAAAAATTGGCTGATTTTTTTGGCAAAAAGAAAAAAGCCTATCTACTTCACTGGTCCAAATACTATGCCTTTCATTGTCATTGAGTTATTTTACAACTGTGTAACTTGTAGAGTACCATAAAAATGGAAATTGGGTTTAGTCAAGGATATCATTAGTAATTGCCTCGGCTTGTATATGTTAACATTCATTTTAATGTACCTGTATGGGTGTTTGGTTTTTTGTTTTGGTTAGGTTTTGGAGGTTTTTTTGGGGGGGGGGGTCCTAAGCAATAAAGGCTCTTGTTTCCTCTCATATTTTCCATTAGTGTATTATAATTATACATATTGGAGAATTCATTGTTAGCGTATTCATACATGCACACCACATAGCAGTTTAATTTGACCTTTATTGTTTCCCAGTATATCTCCATTTCCTCCCCTTCTCCCTCCCTCTGGTTCCTGTCCTCTACTCTATTGGTCTTCAGTATTCATGAGAACACACACACACACTTTTCCTTTTTCCACTCTAACTTCCACAAAGGAGAGGAAGTATGACCCTTGACTTTCTGAGTTTGACTAGTTTCACTTAACATAATGTTTTCAACTTCCATCCATTTTCTTCAAATGACATAATTTCATAATTATTTATGTCCAAATAAAACTCCATTGTGTATATATACCATAGTTTCTTTATCCATTCATCCATTGATGAACACCTCTAGACTGGTTCCATAGTTTGGCTATTGTGAATTGTCCTGCTATAAACATGAGTGTGCATGCATCACTATAATATGCTGACTCTAATTCTTTTGGATAAATATCCATGAATGGTATAACTGGGTATATGGGTTCCATTTCTAGACTTCTGAGGAATCACCATACTAATTTCCACAGTAGTTGTCTAATTTACATTCCACCAACGGTTTAAAGTATTTTTCACCACCTCTGTCCAGCATTATTATTGTTTGTATTCTTTTTTTTTTTTTTTTTTAGTTGATAGACCTTTATTTTATTCATTTATTCATATGTGGTGCTGAGAATCGAACCCAGTGCCTCACACATGTCAGGCAAGGCTCTACTGCTGAGCCACAGCCACAGCCCTATTGTTTGTATTTTTAATGGCTGCCATTCTGACTGAAGTATGATGAAATATCAGGGTAGTTTTTTATTTGCATTTCCCAATTTGTTAAAATTGGTAAACATTTTGTTTTGCATATTTCTGGACCATTTATATTTCTTTAATTTTTATATAATTTTTTTTTAGTTGTAGTTGGACACAATACCCTTATTTTAGACGGTGGTTGCTTAGTTTTTTGAGTTCTTTATATATTCTGAATATGAATCCCCAGTCAGAAAAGTAGCTAGCAAAGATTTTCTCCCATTCAGTAATTCTTTCTTCACATTCCTAATTGCTTTTTTAATTCTTCATTGAGTTGCTTTGCAGCATGTAAGTTTCCCTCATTAACTAAATAAAAGCTCTACCAGGTATTCATGTTATATTTGTACAAGCATCATGATTTACCCTTTCTTTAAAATTTATTATTTAGCAATTTCATGGATTCATAAGAACTCTTGAAACACACCTAAAGTTCCACAGAATTAAGGTTAAGAATCTATAGATCAGAAAATACCATGTATAATGGCAAATTTCAGGTTTTATTAAAAAGTAGGCAATGTGAGACTCAAATATAACAGGACACATTAACATTGCCATCTTTAAAAAGCCAAGTTTCTTAACCTTTCAGCCTCTATTAAAAGAGGGTGGAAGAAACTACCTGGTAGGATTGTGTGTATTTAGAACAATGTATTTAAAGTAACTGACATTGTTACACAATAACTTATAATCTTTGTTCAAAGCTCATGTTTAAAAGCCAGTTAGACTACTGGTTTACTTATGTTTTTTAAATACAAATTATGTTACTGAGAAGTAATAAGGAATTTCTGAAGTTGCAAGTTTGTTTGTTTTGGTTTGGTTTTGGTACCAGGGATTAAACTCAGGGGCTTGAAATCTCTGAGCCACATCCCCAACCCTAATTTGTCTTTCATTTAGAGACAGGGTCTCACTGAGTTGCTTAGCACCTCTCCATCACTCAGGCTGGCTTTGAACTCTCCATCCTTCTATCACAGCCTCTGGAGCTGCTGGGATTACAGGCGTGTGCTATTGCGCCAGACTGAAGTGGCAAATTTTGACATCAGCATCACAGAACCCTATCCATGTTTTGGGCAAGTTGCACATAGTTTTCTATGAAGAATGGATGATTTCCAGTCATTTATAAATTGTTGCCATATTCTAGTGACAATAGTTGTGGAAAACACTGGAAATGAGAGCTCTTTCAAAGATTAAATTGAATGTGATAGATTGGTAAATAATGTGGTTATATGTTATTGAGTGTTTTTTATAGCAGCAATTTGATGTTCTTTATGAAATTTTGACTAATCCTTACAACTTTGTTTATGTATGATTTTTTTCTTTAATCATCTTACTTTGCTTTCTGTTTAATCCATAGCTTCCCTAAATGAAAGGTATATTTCATCATCTGAATCCTTGGAAGAATGAAGGAGGGTCTCTGGACTATGATACAAGAAATATGGTTTCTGGGAGAATTGTGACTTTCTGTGCTTTTGTAGTTCTATCCACTATTCCTTAGATGGTAGGCTTCCATCAGGAAAGGAAATGGAGAGTAGGCAGCTAGCCCTTTGTAATGTGGAACTTCCCTCAATGATAAGCATAGCCTTTTGTATTATATTTATATCCTAGCACCTTACAAAAGAATTTGAAATACTTCACTTTACAGGTAATTTTGGTGTTTTTTTGTTTTGTTTTGTTTGGAACTGGCAGTCGAACCCAGGCTTTGTGAATGCAAGGCAGACGCTTTGCCACTGAGCTACATCCCAGCCTGATACTTTTAAGTATATTTATTTATTCAACAAATACTTAGGTAGTAATCAAGGTAAAGTCCCGACCCTTATAATGTCTACATTCTAGTAGGGTAGATAGACAATAAAATTATAATTCCAGGTAACATAAGAGAATATATAGAAAATAGTGACTGGTGGGTTGATAGCTTTCAGATTGAAGGGGAGTTCATTTTTTTCTTCCACATTTGTTTTTAAATTTTTATTTATATGTGGTGCTGAGAATCAAACTTAGTTCTCACACATGCTAGGCAAGTGCTCTACCACTGAACCACAGCCCCAGCCCCTTTTCCACATTTTTTATTGGTGCATTATACTTGTATATAATGATGGGATTTGTTACATATTCATACATGCAAAAAGTACATAATATAACATATAATTTGGCCAGTATCAGTCCCCAGGATGTCCCCCCTCCCTCCCTACCTTCCTATTCTTGGTCCCTTTCCTCTACTGCTCTCCCTTTGATTTTCATGAGATGCCTACTCTTCCCAGTACTTTTCTTGTCCTTTTTCCTCTCCACCTTCTACATATAAGAGCTCAACCTTTTATTTCACTTAACATAATAGTCAGTAGTCCCATCCATTGTCCTGCAAAATTACATAATTTCATTTTTCTTTATGGCTGAATAAAACTCCATTGTGTTTTTATACCACATTTTCTGCCTGTTCCATAGTTTTACTACTGTGAATTGTGCTCTGATAGGGAATTTTTAGACTGGATAAAAGAAAGTCTTGGGACTGGAATTGTAGCCCAGTGGTAGATCTCTTTTGCCTTCCATGCATGAGGCACTGGGTTCGAATCTCAGCACTACATAAAAATAAACAGGTAAGGATATTTTGTCCATCTACAACTAAAAAATATTGAAAAAAAAAGAAAAGAAAGTCTAAGATAGTGACATTCACAGACATCTGAGTAAAAAAGGAAGTAATCCATACAGATGTGTCAGGGAAGGTAGAGAGCAGAAAGAGGAAAGCCCTTGAAGTAGGAATGGCCATAGCATGTTTAAGACACCTAGAAATGGTGTTATAATCAGAGTGATCCTTCTGAAAGGAATTGTAGAAGTTAGAGATCCTTGGGTGGGATCACATAGGGCCTTGTAAACAGTAGGGTTTTAAATTTTGAATGTAGCAAGCAAATCTTTGGAGAAGTTTGTACAAAGAATTGCCTGATTGAGTCGTGCATGCCTGTAATCCCAGCTGTTTGGGAGGCTGAGGGAGGAATATCAAGAGTTCAAAGCCAGCCTCGGCACTAGTGAGATGCTAAGCAATTCAGTGAGACCCTGTCTGTAAATAAAATACAAAATAAGGCTGGGGATATGGCTCAGTGGTTGAGTACCCCTGAGTTCAATCCCCTGTACCCTCCCCTCCCAAAAAAATTGCCTGATCTGATTTGCATTCTTAAATTACTATTCTATCTGGAAAATTAGTTATAAGGAAAGAAGAGTAGAAGCAACTTTAAACCAGTTAAGAGGATCTTGCAGTTCAGACAAGACATGATACTAGCTTGGACCAGGTGGTTATGAAGAAGGAAATGAGAAGAATTCACATTCAGGATATATTTTAAAGGTAGAGCTAATGGAAGTGCTGATGAATTGACTGTAGAGTATGAGGAAGAGCAGAATTAAGGATCACTGTCATGTTTTTGCCCACAACAATTTTATATGGTGTTTCTGAGATGGGGACAACTAGGACAAAAAGTGTTTGTGTAAAATTCAAGAATTCTTTTTGTCTCATTAAATTTGAGATATTCTCTGGGTAAGCAATTGGAAGTCATAAGTGGATAGTGTAATATTGGAACATGGAGCTGATAAAAGAATATATAACTTGTGAAACAAACCCCCAAAATTTAAAGCCTCAAAGAATGAATGAGTAGATAAGAAAGGAGCACAAGACTGTCCAGTCATAGGCAGCATGTATAGGTATAACACAGTCAGAGGGTCTAGTAAAAGAAAACTTTCTTGGAAGCCACGTGAATAAAGTATTTTCAAAGCAGGAGTTTCTAGCTCCAAATCCTGCTGAGAAATCAAATAGACAGTGGAATTCACTGATAACCTTACAGTTTCACCAGCATGGTAGGAAGGAAAGCCTGACAAGAGGGATTGAAGTGAGAGTATGAGATGAGCATGTGGTTATGCAATGCTAAATGACATTTCTTATTTTTTAATTATTAATTTGTACGTACAGCTGCATTTTATGTTTTAAGCTAGCATAAACTAAATGTTTCATTACTTTTATCTTTTTAAAATTGATATATGGCTGATCAGCTGAAGTCTACTCTGAAAAATGCCAAAATTCTCTTCTGTTGCCAATGGTAAGAATGTATGTTTAGTTAGAGATTTGAGGTTAAATGCATGAAGAACTTTGCATCCCCTTACTGAATATCAATTTAAAACACATTAATCATTTCTGTTACTATCTGCAGCATCACTGTACCTGATTCTAGTAGGCACTCAGACTCAGGAGACACAAATAGGCTTTAATCTAATACTATATTTACTTAGCTTTAAAGAAGGATACATAGCAAAAGATAGAGTAGGTACAACAGCTTCATCTCATGCAGAGGCTCAGACCTAGCATTTACCTGAACACAGCAGTTACTCAAAACTACTCTTTTTGTTTTTGTTTTTTAAATATTTTCTTAGAATTTCTTTTTTTTTTTTTTAATTCTAATCCATTATAGATGACAGAATGTTCTTTGACTCATTGTACACAAATGGACCACAATTTTTCATTTCTGGGGGTATGGAGATAGGAAATATGGTGGAATGAGATGGACATCATTGCCCTAGGTATATGTGTGATAGCACAAATGGTGTGACCCTACTTTGTATAAAACTACTGTATTTTTTTGCCCCTCCCCAACAAGTATGCCTGACTTCCCTAGGTAAGGGTTAAGGTATATGTAGGCCACCTTCACAGGTAAAAAGCTTTAGCTCATTTTGCCCATGTTGCCTAACAATCTTTTATGGCATTCTGTTCACCTAGGCCCAAGGCCTGCATGCTTATATTATACGTTCTCCAACCCAGGTATAACAGAACAGACATTTACAACTAATCCCATTTGTTTTCACTCTTCTATTTTCTAATATGAGACTGAGGTTATTTTCAGGCAGGCCTGCATCATCCCAGGCTTGATTTTTAATCTTTTTTAATGCACTCTTTTTTTTTTTTTTTTTGATGTACCTCTGGTGATTCAATTCATTCAACAGATTTTATATACAATTTGTTCAACAAATTTTTGAGTGACTAAATAGCCAGGGATGGGAATGACTCCATAAACAAAACAGTCACAGCTGGGGATTTACCTCAGCGGTAGAACACTTGCCTAGCACAGTCAAGGCCCTGGGTTTCATTACCAGCCCCTAAAAATCTGAGCAACGGGGGTTGAGGGGGGGAGAAATCTCTTATTTCATTAATCCTACATTCTAGAAGGATATAAAAATAAAAAGCAGAGCCTGTAATCCCAGTGACTCAGTAGAGGACACTGGGGCAGTAGAACAGCAAGTTCAGGGCAGCCTGGGCAATTTAACAAGACTCTGTCTTTATTTAAAGAGCTTGGGATATAGCTTGATGATAGAGTGCCCCCAGGGTGCAATCCTTAGTAATACAAGAAAAAAGGTAGGATAAAGAAAAATTAAGCCAGGCAGAGTGGCATACACCTGTAAGCCCAGTGGCTCAGGAGGCTAAGGCAGCTGTATTGCAAGTTCAAGACTAGCTTCAGCAATGTAGTGAGGCCCTAAGCAAATTAGCAAGAACCTGTCTCTAAATAAAATACAAAAGAAGGGTGCTGGGGAATGCAGCTCAGTGATTAAGCTCCCCTGGGTTCAATTCCTGGTACAAAAAAGAAAAAGAAAAAAATCACCTGTTAGAAAATATCTGTCCATTTTTAAATATGATTGCCAGAGGAGACCTCACAGAGGTGACATTTGAATAAAGATAGGGAGGTAAGAGAGCTCGCTATCTTATTTCAGGAGATATGTTTCAGAGAAAACAGCAAGTTCAATAGACTGGGTAAGCAAAACCCAGATTGAAGCTGGGTACAGTGTAGCACCCCTGTAACCCTAGCTACTGAGGCTAAAATCGGGAAGATTAAAAGTTCAAAGCCAGCCTCAACAGTTAGAGAGGCTCTAAGCAAGTTAGTCAGAACCTGTGTCTAAATAAAAAGGGCTGGGGGATGTGGCTCAGTGGGAACATCTGGGTTCAATCCTCAGAACAAGTGAGGAAAGCAAAGGAACTTCTAGAAGCATGAGGGAATCACAAAACACTGGGGAAGGCCAGTAATTTGATTCTTGACTTTTTACCAGTAATTGGTAAAAAGTCAAGAATCAAATTTATATTTGGAGCTACTTGTCAATCTTGCACTTGCATCCTTGCGGCCTGGGTTAGCAACACATACAAAAACAAAGATGTGTCCGCTGAAAACTAATAAAATTCTGTGTTGATGGTTCTGCCTTTGCTTTTATACATTTTGTTTTGTGTAACTCAGATATGGAAACTGACAGTGGAAATCAAAAGATAATGGAAGAAAGCTCTGAGAAAAAAAAAGATGTAGAGAAAAAGAAACGGTCTCGGGTTAAACAAGTGCTTGCAGATATTGCTAAGCAAGTGGACTTCTGGTTTGGGGATGCAAATCTTCACAAGGATAGATTTCTTCGAGAGCAAATAGAAAAATCTAGAGATGGATGTAAGTAATGTTATGTTTCTATTACCTAGTTAGTTCCCACAAAGGCTCCCAATTATCACCCAGGTCACATACCATGTGACACACCATTCCCAAATGTCCATTGTGAAAGGAAATGTTTTTTATTCTACTTTTTCTGTCTAGATGTTGATATATCACTTCTGGTGTCTTTTAACAAAATGAAAAAGTTGACTACAGATGGGAAGTTAATTGCCAGAGCACTGAAAAGTTCCGCTGTTGTTGAGGTAAAAATTAAATTTATTGAATTTTTATTATGAATTCCCATAGCAATTTTTATTAAATTATGTATTACTTTAAAAGCTGGACTTGGAAGGCACCAGAATCAGGAGAAAAAAACCTCTGGGTGAACGACCAAAGGATGAGGATGAGCGCACTGTGTATGTGGTAAGACTTTTATTACACAGGACTTTTTAATTTTATTTTATTTAACTTTGAATTATTTATTAACATGAATAAGGTATAGAATTTGAAAGCCTTTTTATTCATCACAGGAGTTACTTCCCAAAAATGTTAATCACAGCTGGATTGAAAGAGTATTTGGGAAATGTGGCAATGTGGTTTATATAAGTATACCACATTATAAATCTACTGGAGATCCAAAGGGATTTGCCTTTGTGGAATTTGAAACAAAAGAGCAAGCAGCAAAAGCTATTGAGGTAGGTAGGTCCAAACCCTAAGAGAGAAAATAAACAATTTTAATGTTGTTGCAAAAAATAAATTACATTTACAATTATTTTATTAATTTTTAAATTTCAGTTTCTTAACAACCCCCCAGAAGAAGCACCAAGAAAACCGGGCATATTTCCCAAGACAGTGAAAAATAAGCCTATTCCAGGTTTAAGAGTAGCTGGTGAGTATTTAAATTAAAGTTCATTAAAAGTATAATGTTACATGTTACATTACTTTTACACTTTACTTTAAAATAATTTACAGAAGAAAAGAAAAAGAAAAAGAAGAAGAAGGGCCGAATTAAGAAGGAAGACAATGTGCAAGCAAAAGAGTTAAATATGGACACAAGCAATGAGAGCATCTCTAAAATAAAAAGGTCAAGGACAACATCCGAGGGCTCTGAAACAGAAACACCTGAACCTCAAAAGCAGCCCACAAAGAAAAAAAAGAAAAGGGAAAGAGAAGTATCCAGCTTACCTGAAAGCAAAACAGGGAAGAGGAAAAGAAGCAGTTCTGGAGATGCAGAGTGCTTAGCTCCTAAGTCTAAAGTGAAGAAAATGGCTCAAAAAGACATTATAAAAGAAGCTTCTGAAGTTTCAAAAGAAAACAGAGGTATTAAGTTTACAATCAGATATGCTGAAATCTGTTTGCCTTTACATTCAATGGAAACCTGTTTCAAATGCATTGCAGTTACAAATCCCTTTACATTTCTCTAGACTTAGAATGCTCTACAGAAGAGGAAAAGGATGGTGGAGACATAAAAGATGGTTCCCTAAAAACAAAGAGAAAGCATAAGAAAAAACATAAAGAGAGACATAAAATGGGAGAAGAAGTTATACCACTGAGAGTACTATCCAAGTAAGTAAATAATAGTAATTTCCTAGTGTGAACAGACCGACACTCCATCACCATTGCTAAAGTGCAATTCCAGTTTATATTCAACAGAATTGCATATTAGCAACAGTGATGGCCTGTAGTCCCATACCTAATTCAAGCTGGTTTCTTGTATGTGCAGATTATGTAGGAACCACCACACTCAAACATGGAAGCACTTATTTTATCATGTCACAGCAAGTGCCTCCATGTTAAAGTAAAGGTGACCCCTGAACAGATGTAAATATACTTTAAATGACAGTTTGAGTACTCCATCTTAAGTTACTGAATTGTAAAAGGAAGACTTACCATCACCAAAACATGGAAGCACTTACTTTCCCAATTTCAAAGCAAGTACATCCACGTTTAAGTGGTGGGGAGCCCAGACTTAACACTATTAACCTGTAGCAAAAGTAAAAATGAATAGTAGTCTTCTAAAATGCAAAATATTAGTAGTCGTGCCGTTCTGGAGACACCTCCACTGAAACATGGAAGCACTTACTTTGTTTCACACAGCAGGTACCCCCATGTTAAAGCAAAGAGGACCCCTTGCAAAATCTTAAGGCTAAAAAGTCCCATTCTGGTGCAGTAAGTTGAATTCACTTCTACTGAAACATGGAAGCACTTACTCTTTTAAAAAAGCACAGAAAGCACCTCCATGTTAAAGTTGAAGGGAGTCCATTCATACAAAGACTTCTCTTAGTACCAAAAAATTAAAAGCTGAAGGAAAAAAAAAACAATTTAGAGCGGTTTCTTTTTTTCTTTTTTTTACCTTACATTCCGGCACCAGTTTCCAAGGAGTTCTGTCCTCATCTTCTGGAGTAGTAAAGGGAAGGACTTTGGCACTTCTATTTATACTGTTCTTACCTCCTGAATTCCTTTTGCTTTTTTATCTCAGAGAATCATTACAAGAGCCTTTTGTTATTTTAATGTGTCAGCTCTCAGGGAAAGTATGATCCTGGGAGGGTCTGGATACTTTTTTTTTTTTTTTTTTGAAGTATACAGATGTCAATGTTAACAGTTAAAACCATTACCACAAGATATCCTCCTCTTGGGGGGAAAAAAAATCTCCTATCTGCTTGTTTGATGGCACAGATTAGGGTAACAATTGAGTACTCCCACAGAGCCAGGAGATGCATTGTGTTTTTATCTGGAGGAGCTCTCGCAGTTTGAAGAAACATCTCCATGTTAAAATGTATGTAAATAAATTGCTTCCATGGGGTGTTTTTTTCTTCTCAGAAATTCCTCTTGGTTCAAGTAAGTACTAGAAGAATGTTATCTCCCAAATTGGAAGAAGTTGAACAACCTTTAAATTTTAATCTCTCACTTTTCCCCAAAAATAACTGATCTAGTAAATGTTACTAATTAGTGAATTAACTCTAAAATCTGACACTCGTAAAATGTTAAAAATAGTAATCTAATTTGGAAACTTAAATCTTCTGAATGCTGGGGCAAGAAGAACTCACTTTGATTTACTAGGTAGATTTAGGAACTAAGAAATAATTTGCCTCTAAAGCATGTAGACAAAGAGAAAAGCTGGGAGGAGTGTATTCAGGACTCATTGTGAATGTACTTGTTTACGTTAATTTATGTTTAAGTAAAAAAGTCAACTGTTGTCCCTTTTCCTACTTCACTTTTTTGCCTTACAGGAGCGAATGGATGGATTTAAAAAAAGAGTATTTGGCATTACAAAAAGCCAGCATGGCTTCTTTAAAAAAAACTATATCCCAAATAAAATCAGAATCAGGAATGGAGACAGACAGAGGAGTTCCTAATAACTCTGAAATGAGAAATGAAAAAGGTAAAAATCACTATGATACCAGAAAAGTATATGAGTTATATTTGATTTTGGCGGTTTATTTTAACAAATATTTGAGGAGCTGGGAATATAGTTAAGATAGATAAATTTTCACATTTAAATATATTTAAAATATTCTTATGTAATATCTGTGATTATTTATTATAATTCTTTTGTTCATTCATGGGAAAACATGTTTAAGGTTTTTACAAATGCTCTTCTAACATTAACAATTTGCATTGATAGTAACTATGTAAGCATTCTACATTTTATTTCCTGGTTATCTGAAATAAGCAGTATGATACAATATAGCCTCCACAATTATTAGATTCATTACTCCTTTTAAAATTAAGTGAATTGTAAATTGATTGTCAGCCAAAGAAATCTTGTTCTAAGAGTGATCCTAAGTGTTAAATTGTTAAGTGTGAGAATGTTTTCCTTTTCAAATCAACAGCTCACAGTCAAGAGAATCACCCTCAGGAGAAGGTTAATTCTCCAGGACCACAGTTTGTGAGTGGAGTGATTGTGAAGATCATTAGCACAGAACCTCTACCTGGCAGGAAACAAGTTCGGGTAATAACTTTTAAGCCCTTAAAATATGATTTGTTCCTTTCTCTTTTTTTTTAACTTCCCTATATGAACATGTTTTTTAATATAGAAGACAAAACAAATCAAATTACCTTATCTGAAGAATTTTGTTCTATGCTAACTGGTCTTTAGATTTTGCTTCAAGTTATACTTAAGACCAAAATTCTTCACTGACTCAGATTTGCAGTGATCACAGTTTGAACATCCTTCCTTTACAGGAAAATTACAATTTGTGTTTAATTTTATTTGTGTTGCTAATGGCTGAGTGCTCTATAGTTGAAAGGAAATATATTAAAGTGCTTCCCTAAATTTTTTTCTGTTTTGTTTTCTGTGAATACGTGATGTAGACAAATACTTAGTACTTGATACCATATTGTTTGTTTTTGAAGAATTAACTAACATTAGAGTGTGTCTAAATTTTTCTTAAAATTATAGTCATCTGATTGTCTGGTTCTGAAGCAAGACAAAGATTTTCTGAATTTGTGAGTTTGCACTCTTAGCTTTCAATAGATATCTAAATTGTTTTGTTGCCTCTAAAAATAAAGCCAAAATAGATATGGAATAATATTTTAAAATACTTAAATAATATTTAAAATATTTTTTTCACTTTCCATGGATTTAATTTATTTTTCTCTTGATAAATCATTCTTGGAAATATGAAACTTAATTTTTGAAGAAATTAAAGATATTTTCAATCTGTGTTAATTACTTTTAAACAATTCTAGAAAAGTATAACCTGTTTTTGAAGAGCTACAAAATGGACTTGGGCAAATCAATCCCATCATTGTATGTAATTTACAGTATCAATTGCTATGCATACTGGTGTATAATCTGTTTTTCCTTCATACAATTTATTATTTTTTATACCAGCAAAGATAGCAAAACTTCTTATTAATGAATGCCTATTCCTCCATATAGGAGTACCTTATTTACTCTTACCCTGTTATTCATTTCAGTGAGAAGCTTTATTTTAAACTGTAAACAGTATTCTGTGATGCACCAAATATTTTTGAAATTCTGACAATGATATTCAGTACAATGAGGTGTTTTATTTGGGTTTTTCATATACCCATGCCAGTCAGGTTTTTTTTTAACTTGATAACCAGTAAGGATATAAAAGCACTCCTTATCTAAAACTGTATCTTTAAAATTCTGTAGCCCGCACTGATATCAATTTAGTTTCTCTTTCCAATGTTGCTGAAGAATTTGGCCAATCCAAAAGGCTATATTACCACCTTATATTTAAGCAGTAGTAGCAATATAGAATTTAGAAGGATAGGCAAAAAAAAAAATCATGGGAATATAAGTGAATGCTTAGCATGTACAAGTGTTTGCATTCAATCCTCAGCACCAAAAATAATTTTTTTAATTAAGAAGCTTTTAGTATCAATGGTAATTAAAACAATTGCACATTCTTTATTTGCAATCAAAATCATAAGACAACCTCATTAATAAAGGTAGGAGTTACTTACATTTTGCTGAAGGAAAAACTGGTAAGATGGTAGTTACTGCACTATGACTTGCCCATGTGATTATCAGGCTAATTTGTCATTATAAGGGTTTTAAATTCTAAGGGTTCCAAATCAGGAGGTTAACCTGACATTATAATGGATACTTAGTAAATATCTTTTGAATTGTACTAATTTAACCAGTCTAGAAAATCAAGTATAAAAGTGAATACATTCAAATTATAGCAACTAAATTGTTTTTCTTGCTTTATGTCTAAATTTAGTACCAGTCACTAGATAAAGAAATGGAAAGAATTTGCATGTATATTTGTCTACAGTTATCTCTTTTTTGTTTTAATTGATTAAGCAAATATTTACAGTCCTCAGCTTCTAGAGATTCAGGGGTTTTTACTACCTATTCTTTAGTATGTTAATAAATTATTTTTTGTTCTACAATGAAATAACTTCCAAATAAACTCAATTCTTTCCATAATTTAAGTATCTAAAAATTCACCATTTAAAACTAGTATTAAGTTATTTGTGGGCTGGGGCTGTAACTCAGTGATAGATTCCTTGCCTAGTATGCATGAGGCACTGTGTTGATCCTCAGTGCCACATAAAAATAAATAAGTAAAGTAAAGGCATTCTGTTCGTCCACAACTAAAAAAAATTTTTTTAAAGTAAATGGAAGCAATATAAATGTTTTCCAGTTGCAAATCTCTATTTATTTCTTCAGCTTTAGGTAAGGAAGTTGATGAATTAAGAATTAGTGTAACATTCCTGCATAAATGCATTTAGGTACTCCCTACTACCTACTGTGAAAAAAAACTTGTTTAAGAATGCAGGAATCTTGTTAATTTGCCCTCACAGCAGGCATTATAGGTAAAACTTTTCCCTTGCTGTTGACCACAACCTGTTTAGATGAGGTTATTTAGATATTTTTTTCAAAAACTGTGAGCTTGTGAGCTGTGTTCCAGTACTACTACTCAAGAACTCGCAAGAATTTGTAGGTTCAATAAAACTTTTTTCATGAATGTTATAAAAAGTTGAACAATTGTTACATGTATTTTAAGTCATGAATGATGGTGTACAGGTGAGTGAAAGTAAACTTCCACCAAATACTGTTTTTCTTTCCTTTTAATTTTATTTCTCATTTCTTATAATAATTGCTCCCAGACTGTTTGGTGGGGGTTGGGGGGCACCTTTGTACATTTTTAATAACATCTTTGTTTTAGAAGAAATGTTTGACATGGGATACTTAGTCTCTGTAATGGTATTTTCATATAATATATTTGATAACCATTTGAATACTTTTCAGATTTATTTTGAAACATCTTAAATTACTGATTTTAAATTCCAATGCAGGATACTTTGGCCGCAATCTCAGAAGTTGTTTATGTTGATTTGTTAGAAGGAGATACAGAATGCCATGTCAGATTTAAAACTCCTGAGGATGCTCAAGCAGTTATGAATGCATATACTGAAATTAAAAAAAAGCACTGCTGGAAACTCGAGGTCCTTTCTGGTAAAACTTAATAATTTTTAACAATAATTATTATGGGTAATTCTTTTATATTTTTCTAGTTTTTCTAATAGAACTAGTATTTTTTTTTCCAACTACTTTAGTTCTGTTGATTTGGATTTTGTTTTTTTATATGTCCTTATATTCAATGCTCAATTATTGTTTTGTTTTTAAGGTGATCACGAACAGAGGTATTGGCAGAAGATTTTGGTAGATAGACAGGCCAAACTTAACCAGCCTCGGGAAAAGAAAAGAGGCACTGAGAAGGTAATCAGTTCATTTTTATGTCTTATGTGCTAAACTTTTTTTGGAGGTTGAATATCTTCTTTAAGTCACTAATAGATGACCATAAAATAACTTTTGCTTTGCTATTAAATAACAAAGGTTTTTTCCAGTGTTGTGTTTTTTAGAGCAGTAGGGAAATGCTCATTTCTCTTTTTTTGAAACATAGGAAATTGGAATTAGAATTGGTTCGTCTACAAGGGTACATAA